ACCAGGTGGACACCAGGTGGACACCAGGTGGACACCAGGTGGACACCAGGTGTGCTGCTGACACACTGACGAACAACCTGCCACCTGGGACGAGGAGCAGACCCTGGGAGGAGGGGCCGTCACCATGGGTCAGAGGCAGCTTGACTACTTTGGCACTGAAGTCGTCGCACTTCGCCACCAGGGCGACGCCAGAGCGAAGCCAGAGCCTGGAACGCATGGACCTTAAGTTTCAAGGACATGAATCAAAACCTCTGGTTGTGGCCCCACGGAGGTTACAGCAGGTGACTAATGTGTGGACCAGGTCTACAAGGACGGACGACAGGACCACAGGACGACAGGACCACAGGACCACAGGACGACAGGACCACAGGACCGTGGTCTGAGCTTCTGTGGAGGACATACAGCACAGGTATGTGTGTGTGTGTGTGTAATAATTCTGATGATCATGTGACCACTCAGTGATGAGGAAGTTTATATTCATACAGATGATTAATATTCATTTATTTGTGCTTCGTTATATTTTTGTCATGAAAGAATTTTAAAATGACCATTTAATCATTTTTGTAGCAGCCAGCAGGTGGCATTGTTTGCACAGCAGCCTGTAGAACCTTGTTCAACAATGTGTCCAACACTCCCTCTGGTCCGATGGGTCTAAATTGTTTTCTGTCATGCCCCCCCCTCACACACCCCCACAAATTAAACCACTATTGAGACCCTGATGACATGTATGTTTCAATCTGTACAAACCACTGTATGAGGTGCTGCCACCTAGTGCCTGGAGGCTGGTTATCATTCAAGCATCACAGCAGTGGTACACTGATGTCCAGTGGAAGACCCTCATGTTGGTGTGTGTGTTGGTGTGTGTGTTGGTGTGTGTGTGTGTCCTGTGGTTCCTGAGACGCAAAGAGAAACTGAACCAATCACAGGTTTGAGCAAAGACTTCATTATAATTAGTCATGACGTCATCACTGAGTCCAGATACTGGAGCAACAACAACAACAACAACAACAACAACGACAACAACAACAACGACAACAACGACAACACTTCATCATTCACATGACACAGTCACAGCCTTCGTTCACTTCACGGTTCACGACGACTCAACGTGAGTCACTTTTCAATGAAACCTCTGACTCAGGGTGCAGTACCGTGGTTGAACCACACGTCCGTGTCATGCTCACCACTTCGTTCTTCACATTCAGTTTTCTCTTCAAACCAAAGTGTGGAACGATCAGCAACGTCTCGTTTCCTATCAAACAGGAAGTGATGTACTTCATACAGACGGACAATACTGAACACTGCAGATACTACTGTAATACTGAGCTGAATGTACTTCAAGCAGCCAAGCCCGTCGGAGGTGGAGCAGGTGGAGGTGCACAGCAGTGATGGAGGAGGAGAAACTCAAGTTCAGTGTAAAATACACCAGTCAACAGCTGGGAATGTGTCCACTGGGGGGCAGAGTGGACTTTGTCGTTGCCTAACCACATGAAGGTCACTTGTTCCCACAATCACAGGCTCAGAGTAACCAAATACTGCAGTAATCCTTCATTCAAACCAAAAAGGAAATACTTCTGTCCTATTAACAGAGAAGGTCACAGGAGGTCATT